TTCATTTAAAAATTAAAATGAAGAATAAATCAGTCAAGAATTGGATCTTTTACTGCATAACAACCAAATGTGTCATAACCTTTGATGAGACTTTGCAAAATCTTCTAAAAATCCAAGTTCACGGGGTTTCCTAGTCTGCTGTTAATTTATCTGTACTAATTTAGTATCCCTATGATAACTAAAGTAGTTTTTTTTAATAATAAATATACTAAACAGTTTCCAAGGATTACTGTTAACATTTGCTGTAGTTAAGAACTGGAAAAAAGAGACGCAAAGTACACAATCAATTATCGCCTGCACAACCAGGAAGTTCAACATCTTAATTGAGAAAATTGAATTGTCAGCTGTGAACTTTTGTACCATGAGATTATTTAGCATTCTTTATCCCAACTACTCCTATTGCAATAGGTCTCTGAGAGCGGGTTTAGAAGAGAAGTCTTAAGGAGGAGGAGAGAGTATGAAAATTTGTTTGTGAGAGCAGGTGAGGCAGGAATTAAGACTAAAAAAATGAAAAGGTAAAGTCTAATTAGCTGTTCTGAAACAAGATCAACACTGAAACAGCTGCAAATACAAACTGACTCCATAGGGAAGCCCTGAAAATATTAGTCCTAACCTACCCCATTATCAATTAAGCAACAGATACATCCACTTCACCAAACTCCAAAGTGTTATTTATTGATTTTGTTTTTGATATCCTAAGTACAGTAACAGAAAATTTTCCATTTATACATCCCTAGCACAGAGGCTGGTATCAGTCTTTATTATACAAGGACACTATTGAGTTATAAATCATTGTTTTGAGTTCTAATATTTTTATGACAAAGCAACCCTATACTACTCAGTGAATGTAAGTTAGCTATCATTGATATTTAATAATCAAGGTAGTATTTCACTTAATTATTAAAAGGCTTCAACTACTGAGGAACACAAATTGTAGGTTTCAAGTTAGAACTAACAGTTGGAATAAAAATCTGCATTAAAAGCACCTTCATCTAATTCAGTATGGCGGTTGTTACCTTAAAGTGCTCAATTGGCTTCTCCAACATTTTTTTTATTTTGATTTGTCAATCGTTTATAAGATAATATGTATAAGTATATACATAGTTATGAATATATGAAATGGGTACATATAAGAAAAATAAAAGAAACAATAGGACAAGGACGGTAAGCACGTTGGTGCACTGTCAGACTTTGTCACACACATGCACAAAACACTGAACATTTGCAAGTAACTTCAAACTATATAACTTGTCTTTCCTCTATTATAAGATGGCATTGCCTAATAAACCCCACTCTTTTTGAGAACAGACAATCCACATTGGGACCCAACTCTTCCACAAAACTAGGCCCCAGGCAACTTGCTCTTTTAGTTTTAATTCCTTAACTATAAAAAGGAAATTACAATGTTATCGGGTTGTTCATCTTCATAAGATAAAGGCTGCAGCATATTTTAAGTTAAAGGTACAGCATATTAAATTATTAAAACTATGCTAAAACCTGCACTATTTTTTTCCGTTTATACGCCTTAGCACAGAGATAGTATCAGTCTTTGGACTACAGCTAGTAGTTGGACTATAGGCAAAAAATCCAAATTATATATATATATTGCTAATTGTGCTTTATTTATTCCGACAAGTCAAGGATAAATTATACTATTTATAAATATGCCAATAGTATGCATGCATTTTACATATATAAAAGCAGATATTTCTAGACTAAAGTAATAGATCTAATTCTATGGAAGAGAAATAGAAATGAAAGAATATATAAGATTAATATATTGTTGTATGACTAAAATTACATTCTATGGTATTTACTTTCCAGTATGTACTTACAGAACTATTCTGTTAGACTTACCGTAGTTATAAATTATTACATTGCATACAATCTAAGAAAAAGTACTTCATATAAATATCAATTTTGAATTGGCAACTCTATGATTATTCATCATTTTAAAAAGATCAGGATATCACCGTTACAAATAATGGTTTTAACAAAGGTTAAAATATGCACAAAAGAAGCACAATCTTTTCTTAATGATTAACTAATAAATCAATGAGAATGAAATATGCTCCATTATCACTACAAGCCACCAAACAGAAATATTTTTAGAGGTTCATCAATGCTTATAATAAAGCAGCATAAAAATCCTAACAAAAAGTTAAAATGATTTGAATATTTATCCAATATTACAAATACGATTCTTGAACAATGAAAAATCTCCAAGTGACAATAATTCAGCAATGGGAGAATAATTTACAGCTATGTTCATATATTTTTTGACCGTATGTCAAAAAACAAAAGACAAATTTTAAAAACCTTCCAGAATTGTTCCCATGACATTATATTCCCTTATTCTAAAATGACTGGATGAGTAACTGAACTGCTATACTTGCTCTAATAACACAATAAAGAATTGAAACTACTTAATAGAAAAAAACTATTTTTTTTGTTAAACACAAAGTAATATCCTTTGGCTGCAAGGGGGGGTACTTTTTCATAGTAGGGGGTATTTATATAAACATAATTTGGCATCTGTACAACAAAGGGCTCATTCTCATGTCATCTTAACTACAGCATTAATATATATTGGTTAAAAAAAAAAAAATCTACGTCCCCCATGATGCTGTCTTCTTTTCATTTCCAGGCCACAGATGAGGCAAACTTAAAATTATACTTAATAATTCCAATTTTAAAGTTGTGCTTTCTGTTGTGCTTTCTTCCTTTTCTCAGCTCAATTTTTTGCTATGGGCACATGTGGAAAACTTCAGTGACAATGTGCTTGGATAATTTTGTTAAGCTAAGATCCACCCAGTTGTTATGAGTTACCTAAGCCTGCTGTAACCTTGCCCTTTTCCTTTATCCTGACTCTTAATGCTATTTTGGCTTGGAAAAAGACTGGACACCTGACTTCTGTAGAGTCTGTACATGTGACAGATTCTTTCCAAACATTTGTGGGATCTCACACAAGATCCTTATATACTCTAATGTAATCCTCTTTTTAAAAAAAAACATTAGACCTCTGTTTACAAAACAGAACTTGCATTCCCTTTGAGAGAACCAGCTTTGTGGTTGTTTTTATAACCACAACTGTCATATGGGGAGGGTTGAAAGAGTGGAAATGTTTGGCAGCCAGCCCCTTCTGAGTTCCAGGATCCTCACATCAGAAGGCAAAAAGAACATGGAAGCATTGTGATACCAACCTGCTGCATCATTCTTTTATTGCATCAGATATTTCCCTTATTCGCTCTGGGATAGGAAGCCCTTTTTTCACCATTGCTTGGAACCAAGCCCAAACATGCAAAGCAATCACAAATAGATTGGGTTTACCAAGAGGAAGGAGATTGCTGCATATTCATGTTCTCATTGGCTATTCCTATCTTCTCTTCTGTCCACTTTCAGTTGCTGGAAATGCTCAATTTACAAAATCACCACAACACCCTTATACAGGGCATGTGTGAAAACGTGTATCTGTTCTCATGATACTTTTTGTTCATCTCAATTTGTCCTTTTCACACAATTCTCACATTTTACAACCTTCTCGGACAATTGCCCCAGTTCCTTCTTATGCGGCTTATCATCTTTTCCCCAGCGGTACTCATTCTTTCATCCTTATGCCTCCATCTGCCTTGTCTCCAATCTCTTGGCTTGATCTTTCAGGAGCCCATCTTCAGAAACTGATAACAAGCCCCAGGCAAGAAGAGAGGTTGTTCTGAGCCAGGAGCACCAGAAGAATTCCCTCCTGCTTTGCTGGGAGCCTTTCCCTCCGCACCTGTGACCTGCTAGCTAGGCTATTTTTGGACACAGGTGTAGTGTGCTCTTTTCAAGTCTTACCTTTCGAATTGGTTTGACTGAAACTTTACACAGGCTCAAAATACTAGGACCTGGTAGTTGGGCAACTTTTAATAGGTGCAAAACTCACCGTTTAAAGCCCCCACCTGTACTTGGACTATCCTGCTCCTCTCCCTATTATTAAGGAAATTGTTCGGCTATTGTTTTTCTCCACAGACAGGCGAGGTGACACTTGATAAAACAGGAAATGAAGCAAGAGGAATCCACCAATTGGTTTTCTTAACTTGTTCTACATTAAAATGGACAGGACAGTCCCCATTCAGGAGGCCCTACCTGCCCCTGAAGCAAAATCAGGAATGACCATTGGAGCCACCAATTCCCTGCCGGCACAAGATTTCTGCCGACTCAAGGACCCGGGATGCATTTTAACGCGGCCAGATATCTAGCCTTCCCCCAAATGCCAAGCTCTCTCGATGTCCTGTGACCGGATCTAAGGCATAGGAAGACACTTCGTTGTTCCATGAGCCGGGCCTTTTATTTATTTTTAATTTTTTTGGATACTCTGGGTCGCGCAGACGACCGATACCGGCCCTCGTTGAGCAAAGGGCTCGGGCTAGGGAGCGGGAGAGGCAGCTGGGTGGTCCCGCATTGAGCCCAAGGTGACCCGGAGACCCGAGGGAGGGCTTCGAGGCGAGTGATGGTCACGACCGGGAGAAATCACAGCGCCACCCCGCTCAATCCGGCCCCTCCGGATCGTCCGAGGAGGCGACAACGCGGAAGGGCTCGTTTGCCTCGCTCATGCCGGGACAAATGAAAGGTATTCAGCCACGAAGGAAAAGAAATTCGCCCGGTCACAATGCCAAAGGCGAAGGTCAGCGCTCTGCATCTGGCGACGTTGCCGCCGCTAATTGTTTTTTTGAATCGGTACTCACAGCCCGTCTCCTTCTTGATCTCCTCGATCTCTTCGTCCCTAAGCAGCGTAGACGCCCGAGAGCCCATGGCAGCCGCTTCGCGAACCGTCAAAGGAAAGCTCCAGTCGCTTGGCCTAGAGCCGGCGCCGGAACCAATCAGCTGCGCGGACGTCGCGCGAGCTCCAGGCGATGCAACTGACAGGAACGCGCGACGCCCCCTCCCCTCCTCTTTATCATCCCGAACTGCCCCGCCCCCTTCCCGCCCCGCCCCTCTATCGTTGCATCTGCGCAGAGGGAGACGGTGGCGTTTCGGGCCGTTGTTAGCGAGTCTCACGCCCTCCATCTCCCTTCTGGCGTCATCGCGCGGGCGATTCTCTCACCCTTGTCCCCGAAAACTACGGAATGCGGAGCACAGCGCCGGTTATACTTCCCTCATGTGTTAGCTGAGGTCAAATTGGCTTGGACCCCTTTGAACGATTATATTAGGGGTTTTCCTTGGCTCTTAACGTGGTGACATGCGGTTGCTGTTGGTTTTTTTTATTACTGTGTCCTCCTTACAGTACAGCGTCTAGTATCGTGAGGATTGTATTTGGGGGCCCTTAAAGCATTTTTATGGTTGCCTGCTTTACATTTGCTGCCCGCAAATGCAGTGTATCTCAACCGCTGAGATGCAGAAATCCTGAGAGCTGTGGCTTGTCCACATATATCCACATTGTCTCCACAATGGCTTGAGATCTGATTAATGGATGGAGGAGTCTTGGGCGTGAAGAAAAAAAAAATCAACTTCACCAAAGTGTCATTTATGTCCTAGAACTTGCTTTCCCCCCCAAAAAAAAGCAGGCTAACAGTTTTCCTACAAAGGATTTCCTAATTTAAGGGGAAATTCTTTCAGTTTTAATAAGGAGTGGCTATACTTGTCTTGATAACCAGTGCTTCACCCCACCCGCAAGTCTTTCTAGATTCATCTGGGTGAGGAGCAGCTCTTTCAAACCAGTTTCCAGAAGAATGTGTGAGGCCTTTTCTTAGCTCCTATGTAGAGGAAATAGAAGCGGTTACTATTTTGACTAGGTTAGGTCACTGAGCACTTAACGCTGAAAGGTGACTAATCGTAGCAGTCGCAAACATAATAGAAGATGGGAATAGGCAATCTGATGTTGGCCCCTGAAATGCCAACATCAGATTAGTGTGTTTAATTTAGAAAGGCATACAGAAGTGGTAGGGAGAATTCAAAAAATAAATATGGGTCTTTGGCAGTCTTTATTGAGAGCCAGCTGGGTGTAGTACTTAAGACATGTTTGAAGAAATATTCATCTGGTTCAGTTCCAAGCTGGGGGAAAAAAGCCCTGGAAACATGGAGGCTGGTTGGAAAGATGGTTGATTGATGAAGCAGAACCACCAAGCACATGGTTCTGGCTAGCTGACCACGTGGAGTTGGGAGTGAGGGCTATTTATACCTTCTCCTGGGCTTTGAACTTGAGCTTCCTGTTCCTGTGCAAGAACTTGTATCGGCTGCTGTCAGACACCCGTGGAGCTATGCAGGGGTCATAGCTGAGGTTGTCTGACCTCCCAGGTTTGGTTGAAACTTGCTGGGTGATGTAATGTCCTTAGGAGATTGCAATGCAATGGGCTCTGTGTCTTCTGCTAAATGGTCCTATTATGCCCTGAAGGGCCATAATCCCTTCGCCCTGGAGCTGAAGGTCTTTTGCTGGCCCAATCTTTCTCAATGGGCACAAAAATCTGCTGGGGGGAGAGAGATTGAGTCTGCTTTCTGTCTTTTAAGAAACACATGTTTCTCCATTTCTTATTTAGGGAAATATATTCTGCCTTTTTAATATTCCTCAAAATATTTCATTCTTCTAGGAGGGGGAGGGGGAACTTTCTACAGGCATCAGCTGGGCCAGCCTTTCTCTCTTAGTCTTAGGAAAAAGGTGAAGATTTTGGAAATTTTTCCAAGCAAACTGTGGGGAGTTAACACATTATTTACTACAATGATGTCATTTGGCCCCAGCAGTATTCTTAGAAGTGCCTTTTAGTACAGGTAGTTCTCAACTTGCAACAGTTTTGTTTAATGACCACTCGACATTACAACAGCACTGAAAAACGTGACATGGCTATTTTTCAGACTTTCGATTGTTGCGGCATCCCTATCATATGATCTTGGCAACTGACTCATATTTATGATGGCTGTAGTATCACGGTGTCATGCAATCATCTTTTATGACCAAAGTCAATGGGGAAACCAAAATCACTCAACCGTGTTACTAACTTAACAACTGCAGTGACTCACTTAACAACTGTGGCTTAAATAGGTTGTATAATGGGGCAAAACTGACTTAAGTCTCTTGCTTAGCAACAGAAGTTCTGGGCTCAATTGTGGCCATAAATCAAGGACTACCTGTACCATTTTTTTTTCCTTTTGAAGCAGAATGTGGGCAGACTACATTCATTCATCTGGTAGAGTGTTTTAGTTTGAGCTCTGGCCTGGTAGCAGGAAAACTGGTAGAGGTTTGTGTGGCTTAAGGATTTGGAAGTACTAAGGAGACAGGCTGGGTTGAAGACAATTTATCATAATGGGTAGGAAAAGTAGAACAAATGTGATAAAAAATGAAAGCCACATCATTTAGGAGGGAAAATAAATAAGATAGCAATAAAGAAAATCAAAACGTCTGTTTTCCTTGGGTTGTTGCTAGATATGAATGTATGGCAAGGTTTGTATATTACATTAAGTCTTAAGTGATTTGTGGAATATTTGATTTGCCAATTGTTTACAAGATAATAAGTATAAGTGTATACATAGTTGTGAATACATGAAATGGGTACATATAAGAAAAATAAAAGAATAAGAGAAACAATAGGACAGGGACGGTAGGCACGTTGGTGCGCTTATGCACGCCCCCTACAATATACTACAAGTAACTGAGTTCTGAAGTTGGTTCGCAATAAATCCTGTTTTATGAACTACATGCTAAAACCAAAGTGATATTTCAGTGTAGTGTGTGTATGAGAATGAGTTGAAAAGATCAACTCAACTCTGTAGCTTTTAAGTGTTGAGGATGTGAATCTCTGAAAGGAAAGGTTTTGAATGAACACCATAAACTGTTGGGTTCTTGATATTCTCTAAATTAGGTTGTTTTCTTGCAGATTTTTTTTAGCAAGTTAGGTAACATCAGAGCATGGGAAAGTAAGGTTTGCTGATAAACTACTATATACAGTATAAGCAACCAGCAAGATTATTTCCCCATGTGCTAATGATGTTACCTACAGTAGCTTGGTAATGAAACATCTATGGGAAAACATTAAAACTCGAAAAACATCAAGAACTTAACAGTTTAAACTTGTGTTACATATATTCTCCACTATTAGAAAGACAGAACTGTAGGTTCTGTGGAATGAGTATTAGAATTTAGGACCCATACCTATTTTTTATTAAGTTCTTAGATAATTTACATCAGGGGTTGGATTCAACCGGTGTAACTACCATTCAGTGATTACGTTTTGCTGGATGGATGGATGGATGGATGGATGGATGGATGGATGGATGGAAGGATGGATGGATGGATGGATGGATGGATGGATAGATAGATAGATAGATAGATAGATAGATAGATAGATAGATAGATGATAGATAGATAGATAGATAGATAGATAGATAGATAGATAGATAGATAGATAGTGTGTGTATAGTAAATTGAGTCCAGATGAGATTTGTACTCTTGTAGTTCAGCTTTACTGTGTATAGACCTATATTTTGTGTTTTTTTGTGTCTTTAAATTTTTTATTTTCTAGTTTCAGAGTGGTAGTTGTGTTAAAAAAAACTACCATATAAATTGACCAGGTTTTTAAGTCAAAAGAAAACACTGGAAAATCAACAACTACTTGTTTTGAAAGATGGTTTCTCATTATTTACAGAACTGGTTTAAATGGAATGGCAAACCTTTCAAAAAAACATAGGCCATCCATAAAGTTAACTATCTTTCAGGCCTGCCTGAGGGATCAAGAAACTAGCTACACTGGTTGAATTAGATGCTCTGCATTTATATGTAAATTTTAAAGTCTAGGGGAGATATTTAATTGTGTTACAAAATTCAGAGATAATCATGATGCTGCCTATCATGATAATGGAGTTAGATGAGAGAACAGTGCCGAAATGTTTAATTCTATTAAGTGGGGAGACAGTCTGAATTTCTGTAGATCTCTTCATTTTAAAGGTATACTCAAATTTTCTATTATAACATAGTTCCAATAATTTTACCTCTTTATCTTTTTGATACTTTATTAGTAGCTTTAAATGAAGGGGAAAACATGTTTTACTAAACAACATTAAATTATATAATTACAGATTGCCCAAGAAAGGCAAAATGTATAATAACTTTTATATGTTGTCATTTATTTGGAACTTTAAAGCACCATGAACTTACAAAGAAAACTAAACACAATTGTAAAAGCAACTCATACTCAGTTACGGTATATTTATCAACTTTAGACTTGAGTCTTCCTAAGTGCTATGGCCTAATGTAAGTTTGAAAGTTGTGCTGCTCTGCTGCTTCTTAAATCCCATGTCTGTGGAATTTAAATATATAATAATAGTGATTTTTTTGGAAAATATAAATTCATATTCTCCGTTTGTAATATTTGGTGTTAAATTTGAAAAGAAAGCTGTGAAGCAGCTGATTGTCATATAGGAAACTCTGAAGAGAAAGAAACAAGATACCAGAGGAAGAACACAAGGGCTTTTCTGGAACCAAGAGGACAGGGGCAGTATAAATAATAGAATTGGTACTTTCAGCAACAAATGAAAGAGACATTACATGACAATCTCTTCACCATTTCTTCATCACTTAGGGGTGATGAATGCCTGATCTTCATTTTAGCTTATATAGATATGAGAAACAGCCATATTTTGTTTCCCTGAATAAGCAGTATAGAGTAGAATAACAATATGGTCTATAAAGAAAATAGAGTAGTTTGTGTGTGTGTTTCTTATATAGTATATTAAAGTGTTTGTGTGTAGTGCGTGTGTGTGCACAGCACAATATCTTAATGTATAATATGTGTGTGTGTGTATGTATGTATATGTATAATATGTATGCAGCAGACCATATTATATGCAGTACACCATATTACAGTATATAAATAGACTAGAGTAACAATATCTATTAAGTTTGCTTTCGATTCACAGAATAGTGAAAAATGAAGACAAGCAAAGCAGTAGGGAAGTGAACAGGTAGATGTTCACTGAGAAGGAAGAGGAGGATTCTGCTGCCTTCTTTGTTCATATTGAGAGCCAACAATAAGGCAACACTGCCAGAAGCTATTTGGCACTGTCAGGGCTGGTTTACTCCCTGGGATATCAACATAAAAGAAATATTTATGAATAAATGAAATTGGGCAGTGAACTGGACTTAGTCCATGTGCTCATAGTTCTCTACTCCAGTAAGAGAGAGTAGATTAATGTATAAACCACAGCGTCTTTACAGACTAATCACTCTATTTCTCTTTTTCTGTCTCATTACATGTCTCTGTTATTTTTACTGTATTGCACATTTATTTATGAAATTTAAGCACTGCTCATTTCATAATCCAGGTGACTCTTGGCAGTTTACAAGTGCAAACCATAAAATCATTTCAAAAAGACGGAATTAAAAGCAAAATTAAAACAGTGAAAAACAATAAAAACTGAGTTACAAAGATGAGTTAAAAGGCAGAAGGAATGTTCTCAAGCCACCAACTACCCCACCCCACCCGGGTTGCGTGCCACTCTTCATTTTCTATGCCAATTGGCAGAGCCTGGTCTTCATGTTCTTCCAGAAGGTCAAAACAGTCACCTCCAGGGGCAAGATATTCCATAGGCAGAAACAGTGGCAGAGAAGGCTCTGTCAATTGAAATTATGCTTGCTGGTGAGGCATAAAATAATTATTAAACAGCTATCAACACCTAATTTGAAGAAGATTGCTGATATACTGTATGTTGTTTCTTAACATTTAAATAGTCTTTTAAACAGTGGTAAATAATTTGAGACTGGAAATCCAATTGTAAGTTACAAGTCAAGACAATTAGATTTCCAGTCCCAATTGCAGTTATAAATTGAACAGCTGCATATGGGTTTGTTTATAGCTCAGGCAAAGCACATGTCCATGAACTCATAATTTTTCTTAAAAATTGAAGACATTGGCTTTTCTTAAATCAAATTGGGTTTTTTTCCCAGTTGTCCTGGATCTGTAATCATCATATGGACGTAGATTTTTAACTTCAATTGTATCATTCATTGATGACTTATTTTTTTATAATTTTATATGCAAGATCATTCTACAGGTCACTTATTAGTCTGCATTTCTATGATTGTTTAATTATGTGGGCTTGTGATTAATTAGAGGAAGTCAGACAATGTATCATTTATTTCTTAGGAATTAAACTGGATTGTGTATCACTGGTTGGAGAATAGGTTTTAATTTTATAATTTCCTTAGCATATTTTTATATACTTCTATAAATAACAAAAGATTTATCTTTTTTAAAAAATTTAGACTGAATGCCCAACTCCTTGGAGGAAAAAATCTATAATGGATCCTAGCTCTGATTACCACTTTCTTCATCGTGTTTTGGGGAAAACTCTACACATCACATTGAAATGTGGCACATTCCAGGGGATATTGCAACATGTGGATTCCAGTCAGTGTATCTTTCTAAACAGAGGTATTACTGCTATTTTTAAATTCAGTGTCACATTAGTGTCTTTCAGAACATTTGATTTAACGTTATTTCCTTAGAGATCAAGCTCCAAGCATTTTTCTCTAAAATGTGTTTAAAAGTTCAAATCTGGAAGGGCTATGAAAGTCAAAAATGCTGGACTGAATTCCAACTTCTAGAGACCTGAAATTTGAGAAGGAAATGAATAACTCCAGTGCTCGAAGCTCTTGTGGTGTGAGTTCTTGGCAGATATAGTAGCAAAGCAGCATTCCTCTCTTTTCCTAATAATTTGTTTGCTGTAATTTTTAGGAACATTTGATATAGGATGATCAGCAAAAGAATTGTATAAATTATGATCAAGCTTATTCTTCCTAACGAGAGTTAAACTTAAAATATTGGACAATTTTAAATACCACCAAGCTAAAAATTTATCCTTGTTAATCTTTTATAGCAGAACCCATCCAGGATCAACCAAGATATGTTTCATGAACTTCTAGAAATTTGACAGTGCTAAATAGTTCATGTTATTACAGTTTCCTGGTATTGTCACTAATTCATCAATACAAATTTCTTTCTTTATATTAGCAACATTCCATCATTATAATTCATCTCCATTGATGTTAACACATTAGCAATAATTACTCCTCTGGGTCCATTGAAATTTCCTGCCTGCATCTGAGTGTAATCAACCTGATTACATTCATATAACTCCTTAATGCTCATTAATACTTCATATTAGAATTCATTTCATTATTTAAAATACAGCAGTTACTTTCAAGTTACACTTTTATAACTCACTATGATAAATTTATTAGTGGCATATTGGAGTGCAAATGGCTTGAGATTTCTTTCTATATTTCACATATTAATCCTTAGTCAATATGTATCTTGTGCAGGAGTAAGTAAATAAGTCATTATTATGTATGTGTAAGACTGAATTTCAACAGAACCTAAGAAACAAAATACCCTTAGATTTTAAATAGCTGAGAGAGGCTAATATCTGTCATCTAAATTACTCAATAATAGCTATCTATTGATAAATTCCAAAGTACTAACTTCACACCTTGATAGGAATGAGTCATTACGTATAAGATATGTATTAAAAGCTCCTCCTGCTGCACTTTGTGTGCCAGCTTAAGCTTTTTTTTAATGACAAGATTTAGTTTGCTGGAAAAGAGAAGTGCTATAAAAGCTTGATTTTTTTTAATAAGAGTGTGTTGCTTTAACAGTGAAAATGTTAGTGAGTTCAAGCAATTTTTTAATGTATACCCTACTTTATAGCTGAACATTCAATGTATGTATTTTAAAACATGCATAAAATAAATATACAAAACCTAACAAGTCTCAATTTTCAGATTAAAAGAAAATTCTATAATTATATTAAATACATTTTGAAATGTTTTTTAAATAAACCTTATTTTAATGTTTGTATCTTATCTGCCTTTTAGGCTTTATTTACAATTATTTTATGCTTAACTATTTTGAGGTTTCTACAGAAAAGTAATGTATACATAAATAGTGAGCTTGAAATAACAGACTGGGTTTTTTTCACCATCAATATAATAATTAAATCATGTGCTTGAAAATAAAATTCAGCGACGTTTTATAGTTTTAGGGCCAGAAGCTATTTTATTAGTAGTCATCTGTCCCATCTCAGAGGCAAAGAAGATTCCTTCCAGCGTAAACCCTAACAAATGAAGACTATTTATATGGAAGAAGGTGGTCCTTCAGATAACTTGATTTGATGCATATAAGTGGGAATACTTTCTTTGGTGTGCAAATTGCAGCCTGCTCTTCTGAAGCTTCAAGCACATTAAATGCCACTGATTCTGTGACAGCAATCAAGCAAACGTAAATTCATTTATACTATAAACTCACTCGCCAAAACCAACACCAACCATAAGAACCTCCGTTGCCGCCCTGACCTAACCATACAGCAACGTGCCCGCTCACGTGCACTCCGCATTGAACTCAAAAACCGTCTAGACAATGGAGAGAAGGACCTGTACATTGACTACCATGCTGACTGTATCAAAAGTAAGCCACGCAACCCAATACTCAGCTTCTACCCTCAACCACAACCCTACCTCAACCGATCCACCATCACCCACGACTAGGCACGCACGCCCCCAACTACCTCAATTCCAACTACTGCCGGCCTTAAATGCAAACTACTCAATGCAAGAAGCCTCGTGAATAAAATACCTGAATTTCTCATCCTCCTAAATATGGCTAACTTCGACATTATATTTGTCTGTGAAACATGGCTCAATGCATCTCTCCCCGACTCCATTACCACAGTAAGAGACTATCATGTTTACCGATCAGATCGTGAAAATCGTCGAGGAGGTGGTGTTGCTATATTCTATAAAAAATCCTTACATCTAAAAAATATCCAAGTTACCCAGGAGCTTGCTCTTCCTGAGACCATCATCTGTGAACTATCCTTAAATATCACAATTCGATTCTTACTATGTTACAGAGCACCTGATTATGACATCGAACATGTAAACAAGCTAAATACATTACTAACATGGGCTGCATCCTGCCCATACCCTTTTATCTTTCTTGGTGATTTCAATCTACCTCATATTGACTGGACCCTAAATGATTGTACGACTGAAATCATACACACAACCTTCTACAATGCTATTACAAATCTGGGACTGGAACAACTAGTAACCAACAACACTAGACTAAACAACTGCCTCGATCTCATCTTCTGCAATAGTTTGAATTTAATTTACGGAATACAAACTAAAGAACCCTTTTCCAGTAGTGACCACAATATGATTGACTTTTGTCTCAACATACGTCCACACAAAAATCACCACAATGATGTAATCCCCAATTGTAACTTCAAAAAAGACAACTATGATCTTATAGACAACGATCTCTCATCCCTGGATTGGCAATCTCTATTCACTGGATGCAATACTGTTGAAGACCATTACAACATATTTTTACTTGAAGTCAAAAGAGTCATCAAACTATATGTACCAACAACAACTCCCAAAACAAAACAAAAAAGCAGATTACCCATATCAATAAGGAAACTTCAATCCAAAAGAGATCACTCTGGAGGAAAAACAAATCTGGTCACGTTGCCAATTTCAAAAACCGATACAAAAATTTATGCCACCAGATAAAGACCGAATGCACCAATTATCACATTAAACAAGAGGAAAACCTTCTAAGCACCAATTCCACCCGTGCTTTTTACAATTTTGTAAACAACAAACTAAAAGACTCAAGGTCCATCCCTCCCTTGATAGGACCTGATGGTAAAGACTGCAACGACGACACCATTAAAGCCAACATCTATAACACATTCTTCGGCTCAGTATTTGTAAACAGCAATGGATCATGCCCAGTATTTCCTAGCCGCACCACAGATAACAATAATGATCTAATACATATCGATTTCACAGAAGACAATGTTGAAAAATCACTACGCAATCTAAAACCATCTCTATCTATTGGACCGGATGGAATATGTGCCTACTTCTTAAGAAAGCTATCCACTGCCATAGCCAAACCTCTAAGCATAATCTTTGAAAAATCTTTCAGAACCAGCTCCTTGCCTAACCTATGGTCACAAGCCACAGTCATCCCCATCTTCAAAAAGGGAGACCCAAGCCTAGTTGAAAATTACAGGCCAATCTCCTTATGCTGCGTCACCTGTAAAGTCATGGAATCAATTATTAACCAATCCATCATCCTCCACTTAGAGACAAATAACCTACTCTCCAATAAACAATTTGGTTTCAGAAAAAAACTATCCTGTAATCTACAACTCTTACACTGCAAAAACATATGGACGACACAACTCGACCAGGGCAAAGCAATAGACGCAATCTACATAGACTTCTGTAAAGCCTTTGATTCAGTGGTACACGACAAACTACTCCTAAAAATAAAATCCTATGGTATCTCTGGACAACTGAATAACTGGATAGAAGCATTCCTGTCAAACAGACAACAAATGGTCAAAATCGGGAGCGTCCTATCAAATCCAGTACCTGTCAATAGTGGTGTTCCCCAAGGCAGTGTTCTAGGACCAACTCTCTTCATACTCTACATAAACGACCTCTGTGATCATATTAAGAGCAATTGCGTTCTCTTCGCTGATGATGTAAAGCTGTTCAATACCACAGACAATACTGCTACCCTACAAAAAGATCTTGACTATGTATCAGAGTGGTCAAACAAATGGCAACTTCAAATCTCAACAAATAAATGCTCTGTCTTACATATTGGCAAAAAAAATCAGAAAATAAAATACAAGCTGAATAGTCAAGAACTTGTTGATGACCCAAGCTCTGTAAAGGACCTTGGAATACTCACTTCTAATGATCTAAGTGCTAGAGCCCACTGCAACTACATAGCCAAAAAGGCATTAAGAGTTGTTAACCTAATCCTACGTAGCTTTTTCTCTGGTAATATCACACTACTAACCAGAGCATACAAAACATTTGCTAGACCAATACTCGAATACAGTTCATCAGTCTGGAACCCACATTACGTATCTGATATTAGCACAATTGAGAAAGTCCAGAAATATTTCACAAGAAGAGTTCTCCACTCCTCTACTCGTTGTAGAATACCTTATGCCACCAGACTTGAAATTCTAGAACTAGAAAACGTTGAATTACGCCGTCTTCGGTCTGACTTAAGCCTGGTATATAAAATCATACATTGCAATGTCCTACCTGTCAATGAATACTTCAGCTTCAACCATAACAACACAAGAGCACACAATAGATACAAACTCAAAGTAAACCGCACCAAACTTGATTGCAGGAAATACGACTTCAGCAATAGAGTGGTCAATGTCTGGAATACTCTACCCGACTCTGTAGTTTCTTCCCCAAACCCCAAAAACTTTAACCTTAGACTGTCTACTATTGACCTCACCCCTTTCCTAAGAGGTCTGTAGGGGGCGTGCATAAGCGCACCAACGTGCCTACCGTCCCTGTCCTATTGTTTCTCTTATTCTTCTTTTATTTTTCTTATATGTACCCATTTCATGTATTCACAACTATGTATACACTTATACTTATTATCTTGTAAACAATTGGCAAATCAAATAAAAATAAATAAATAAATAAATAAATACAACGGACCAACATTCAAGTCAAGGCAGTATTTCTATAGTTTTCTACATGTATTTCTGGATTAATCTATCAATATTTTAAATTGCAGAAAGACTGCAAGTGGTATAAAGAACTTAAAAATATTAAGAGTGGAGTTCAAATTAGTCATTACTATACTTTTAACACAATAAAAGCTAAACACATATACTCACCCTGCAGAATCAAGCCAAAGAACCTACTAATATTATAAAGTAACCAGTTGGATCACTTTGGGAATATTTCAAGCAGAACAGCTATTTTGAATTATTAAACCCTTCTTTAAAAGCAATTTAAATTGGTGATCATTGTCATTTAGGATGCAGTGAATTATTTGGATTAACCATGCTTTGTATGAAGATGTGCTACTACCTATTGATCTAGAACAGAGGTGTCAAACTCACATTGTCACGGCAGCATCATATGACATATCACAATTCCCCCCCCCCCTTTGCTAAACTGAGTGTGGGCATGGCCAGCGTGTGATGCATCTGAGCTGCAGACTGCGAGTTTGACAGCCCTGATCTCGAATCTCTTCATGTTTAATTTCAATGGATGACCCTCCATTTCATCAGTTGAAAGAGAGAGAAAAACTTGTCTTTGACCTCATTTTCTTCACCTTTGTCTCACCCATACAAGCCTTTGCTCTAAGCTGAAAAGTACATTGTAGCCTCATAATAATTTTAGTTATCCATTTCTGCATATTGATTCCAAAGCCTTTGTAATGTATTTTTATAATGTATTTTTATAATATGTATAATATTTTAGACTTGGTGTGTAAAAGATTGCTAGCGAAGAAGACAGCTTTATCAAAAGTAACATTAGTGTATATTTAATTAATTAAAGAATAGAAGTTCATGGGAGGGAACTTGCTATTTCTGAATAAATTATAACTATAACTATTTAAAGAGGAAATAACTATTTCTGAATATTCTCGCCTCCTAATACATTATATTACAGTATTCAAAGATATTTTATTCTTTTTAGAATTGGTTTATTCTAACCAATTTAGAATTGGTTCTAAATTTTAGTATTAAACTGAACGTTTTGTTTATCTAAACAGAATAATTTTTTATTTTTATTTATTTATTTTGTCAAATGCTTACAATATAATAGAAATAAGAATAAATACAAGTTTAAATATAAGAAATAGGAACTAATCATTGGGGACAATAGGACAGGGATGGTAGGCACAATTGTGTGCTTATGCATGGCCCTTACAGACCTCTTAGGAATGGGGTGAGGTCAATAGAGGTTAGTTTGAGGGTAAAGGAGTGGGGGTTTGAGCAGGCGACAACAGAATCAGGTAGTGAGTTACAGACATTGATCACTCTGTTGCTGAAATCATACTTCCTGCAATCAAGTTTGGAGTGGTTTACATTAAGTTTATATCTGTTGTGTGCTCTTGTGTTGTTATGGTTAAAGCTGAAATATTCATTAACTGGTAAGACATTGTAACATATGATTTTATGTACTATGCTTAAGTCCAATCTTAGCCAGTTTAATTCAAGGTTTTCTAAGCCTAGAATCGCAAGTCTGGTGGTATAAGGGTATTCTGTTGTGAACAGAGGAATGTAGTGCTCTTCTGGTAAAATACTTCTGGACTCGCTTAGTTGTATTTATGTCTGATATACAGTGCGGATTCCAGACAGCAGAGCTGTATTCAAGTATTGGTCTAGCAAAGGTTTTGAATGCCCTAGTTTGCAAATCAGTATTACCAGAGGAGAAGCTTCATAAAATTAGATTTACAACTCTTAAAGCCTTTTTGGCAATACTGTTGCAGTGAGCTTTGGCGCTTAGGTCATTCGATATGAGAACTCCAAGCTCCTTGACAGAGTGAGGGTCATCAACAAGGTCGTATCCGCCTAGCTTGTATTTGGTGTATTGATTTTTTTTACCAATGTGTAGGACAGAGCATGTGTTGGTCAAGATTTGGAGTTGCCAACTGTTAGACCATTCAGACACATAATCAAGGTCGTATTGAAGGATGGTAGCATTGTCGGTGGTGTTGAATAGTTTTACATCATCAGTGAAGAGGATGCAGTTGCATATAAAGTGATCACAAAGGTCATTTATATGGAGTGTAAAGAGTGTGGGTCCTAGAACGCTCCCTTGAGGGACACCACTGTTAACTGGTGCAGCGTTTGATAGGGCGGTTCCTATTTTTACTATTTGTTGCCTGTTTGACAGGAAGGCAGTAATCTGCTTGTGATGGGATCTGGAAATGCCGTAAGTATTTAATTTTAATAGTAGTTTATCATATACAAAACAGCAGTTTGTCATGTCAAAGGCTTTGCAGAAGTCTATGTAAATTACATCTATTGCTTTGCCCTGGTCAAGTAGTGTAGTCCATATGTTTTTGCAGTGTAGAAGTTGCAAATTGCAAGACAGTTTCTTTCTGAAATGAATTGTTTATTGAAGAGTAAGTTGTTTGACTCTAGGTGGAAGGTTATGCATTGATTAATAATTGATTCCATAACTTTGCATGTGACACAACACAATGAAATTGGTCTGTAGTTTTCAACCAGGCAGGGGTCACCTTTTTTGAAGATAGGGATGACCGTTGCTAAAGAACATAGGCTTGGTAAGGAGCTGGTTCTGAATGATATCTCATATATTATGCTTAGGGGTTCTGCTATGGTAGTGGAGAGCTTTTTTAAGAAGTATACACGTAAGCCATCAGGGCCAATAGATAAGGATGGTTTTAGGTGATGTAGGGCATTTTCTACGTTATTTTCAGTAAAGTCAATTTGTAAATCACTGCAGTTAGTTGTCATATGATTAGGAAATGTGGGACATGAGCCATTACTGTTTACAAAGACTGAACTGAAGAACGTGTTGAAGAGGTTTGCCTTAACAGCTTCATTGCTATAGTCTTTCCCATTAGGTCCTTTTAGGGGTGGGATGGTTTTTGAGTCTTTAAGTTTGGTGTTTACAAAGTTATAGAAGGCACGGGTGGATTTTGTGCATAGAAGATTTTTCCTCTTGCTTGCAGTAGTGATTGGTTTATTCTGCCTTTATCTGTCGGCATAAGGTGTTGTATCGGTTTTTAAAGTTAGCTACGTATTTAGTTTTGTTTTTACGCCATAAGGATTTTTTTTAGATTGAAGTTTTCTTATCTTTTTGGGTAAATTGTTTTTTTGTTTTTGGGAGTTACTAATGGAACATATAGTTTAATGACTCTTTTGAGTTCAAGCAAGAACACTTTATCATGCTTATTCTGTTTGTTTCTTTCAGTTAAGAATTTGGAAAATGGCAGAAATGTACCTGGAATAAAGAGGTTCTTTGGCTATGAAATTGTTAATGGTGAGAATATTTTATAAATACATTCAGAAAATATTTGATATAATGTTAACTGATATTTTCACGACTTCATATTAGTTCAGAGTATTTTTTTAATCTCAGATTTTCAGCTGACAATGTTTACCATATATTCTTTGATACTGACTGAAGTATGAAAGATGTTTTAAATATATTTTTGAATATATTTTCATTAGATCTTTGATTTTATCTTAAGCCTTAGAAAACAACGGTGAAATGAATTACTATAAAACTAGTTATCAAGAAATATTGCAATTCTATTGCTTTGATTTTATTGAATTGGTTTCTATTTATAAATCAATTACATATAAAATATTTTGGATCCATTGGAATCTATAGATACAATCATTCAGTCTTCACAAAATACTTTGTAAGCCTATAGTAAGGTCTGTTGGGTAAATTCCGATATTTTACACACATTATTTCTAAAGTTTATTGAGACCCAGTTAATCTTCATTTCCTTTAAAGCAGAACGTTCCGAGATGAACAGGATTTGAAAGCTAACCTATCAAACAAAGCAATTAGGTCTAATACAATGCATGCTAAGGGCATTTTCATATGAGGATTTTGTATCAGCATTCCCAACCAGTATTGAAAACCTAAGTGGTTGGTGCTCTTTTCACAATTAACTGCATTACAGGCAGTCCTCGACTTGCAACTATAATTGAGCCCCACATTTCTGTTGCTAAGCAAAGGAGTTGTTAGGTGAGTTTCACCCCATTTTATAACTTTTCTCACCACGGTTTTTAAGCAAAACATTGCAGTTGTAAAGTGAATCTGGCTTCTTCATTGACTTTGCTTGTCAGAAGGTGGCAAAAGGTGATCCCATGACCCCGGGATACTGCAACTGTCATAAATATGAGTCAGTTGCCAAGCGTCTGAATTTTGACCATGTGACCATGGGGATGCTGCAACGGTCATAAGTATAAAAAACATGCTTAACTTTAAACGGTAAGTATGAATAACATACGGTGCTGTTGTAACTTTAAATGGCCACTAAATTAACTGTTGTAAGTCAAGGACCGCCTGTATAGTTTCTTTTTTCTTTTTCTTTTTGCTTAAGATCTTCTGTTTCTCACATGACATGGAACTCTTGTCTCATCTTTCATTTCATCTTCTGGTTTCTGATCCTGAAAAGGAAATGCTGGTTTTGGATTTCTGTCTTTTGTAGCCTAGATCAAACATGCAAAGCCCCCAAGACTCAGCTGGCGGGGAAGAGGGTATATTTTTGTTTTAGATGGTATAGGACTGAAGGGAGCTTCGCTGTTGGACCTGCAGCAGCTGGAGGTGGGAGAGTGACTTCTGCTTCTTGTTCAGGTCAGCAGATAGCATTTCAAGAAGAGACTGGATAGCCATTTATCTGGAATGGTTGCTTAAGCATAGGGTTGGACAAGGTCCCTTCCAATCCTGGTATTCTAATTATGGATCATAATAGTAGTAGTGAGAAGTGTCTTAAATCAGGGGTCTCCAACCTTGGCTACTTTAAGCCTGGAGGACTTCAACTCCCAGAATTCCCCAGCCAAGGTTGGAGACCCCTGTCCTAAATTGAGCTAGAAGTCACTGGGAGTTTTTTCTTCACATTTTTAATCTACTGGTATCTGTGCTAATAAAATGAAAGCCAGTTTATTTGGAAAAATATTTGGAACTGTATATTATTTGAATATATAAGCTGCATGAAATTGCTCTGAAAATTGTAAATTATCTGCATGTAGTATTTCTGAATCATGCCTGCTTGTTCTCTTCCCTCTCTGCTATTTCTAATTTATCTCAAAACCTTGAAAAGTTCCAAGGTACTCTTCTGAACTTGCCATATTTAAGAAGGTCTTAAACAACAAGCTGCTATTGCAAATATATGAATGGTGTAATATGAGCTTCTTTGAGAACAAAGCCAAAATAGTTTTAGGAGAGTTAATTTAGAATAAATCATTGCAGCCTATATTCTATTTGCATAAAGCTTGCATGCAAAATTATGTAATCCTGTTGTGGTATGTAACATGCACATTTCATAGCTTGTTGCTATTTGATTAAACCTATATTCTATCATGCTCTAATCCTGGCAGGTTTACTGTGTCGGTATTCACTTTTAACTTATCTCATCTGGTTATTAAGTACAGTTCCTGGTTGAACTTTAAATCTTTAATAGGAACTGTTGATCTATGTTTCAGTGGAATTGCTCGATGACCTAGAACAACCTGCTGCAGAAAGAAATTTCACTCCTACTAGATCCAGGTACACATGAGGTTTTCGTTATGAGAAATGACTGAGATCCTGGGTATTAGGAAAAGCTATTCTCAGTGGAAAGTCTTATTTGTATACTAGTGATGTATCAAACCCAAGTGGACCAGGAACATAAAGAAATTAAGGCTGCCCACTATTATTTAATTATGTGCATGTGTATATACAGTATATATAGTATGTGTAGCTATAATACATAATATAGCCTTCTCCAATTTAGTGTTCAAGTTCTACACCATTATTTCCGGCCAAAGTAATGCTGTTATATACCATCATACTACCGGTATAAATATGTATTTGTCATGAACCTATTTTACTTTAATATCAATAAGATAAGGATGACTGTGCATATTGTTCTGCTTTCAAGGTCCTTACTCCAAAATTATGTAAATTATTGGCTAAGAAGTCAGACAATTTCCTAGTGTCCTATTTTAGATCTCATCTCCTCCATATCCTTGTCAGAAATAATAAATTATAATGAAATTAGCTGAAGTAGAGATTCTGCCTAGACTCAGACATTGGGCTAAGTCATGTTTTTGCTTAATCATGATTGAATCCACAAGTGTTGGATGAAGACACCCATTTTACTGTGGGGTCCTTGGTGCTCTCTCAGCTTTGTTGTTTTCTTGCAGACATTTCATTACCCAGCTCAGTAACATCATCAGTGCTAGAGAGGAGTAGCATTTGCTCCCTTCTTATATACTAGTGGCTTACCCTGTCAGCGTTGGTGGGAGTGTTCTTGGTGGTTCCTTGATTAGGCTGTTGTTTACTGTTAGCTCCCACCAAGGAAGAACAACAGAAATCAAGGCATAACAGGAAGGTCTTCGCTTTGCAGGATAGTACTATAAAACCTTATGATAAGTAGTCCTCGACTAATCACTGTTCATTTAGCAACTGTTTGAAATTACAATAGCTAATGACCAGTCATCATTTTAGGACTATCGCAGCATTCCCAAGGTCACTTGATCAAAATTCGGGCAGTTGGCACGTATTTACAACAGTTGCAACATCCCAAGGTCATGTGATTGCCATTTATGACCTTCCTAGCCAGCTTCTGACATGCAAAGTCTGGGAAGCCAGATTTATTTAATGACTGCATGATTCCCTTAACAATTGCAGTGATTTACTTAACAACAGTGGCAAAAAAAGGTTGTAAAGTCAGGGGCAGTTCACGTAGCAACTGCCTTGTTTAGCAATGGAAATTCTGATCCCAAATGTGGATGTAATTCAAGGACTACCTATAATGAAGCTTATCCATCCATACTGATCTGTGGAGATAAAAGCAGTTCATTGTGAACTCCTATATTGCAACTTCTATAGGAATATTTGGGATAATTACATATTAACTCTCAGTGCCCAGGAAGGTCAACCCAGGAAGGATGGATAATTATTTTATAAACCAATTCTTACAGATACGAAATTACTTATGATGATGAAATTATTTGTGATAAGCTAAATTTTGTCTTACTTTGATGAAAATGAGGCAACAGTTGATACAAGTCTTTAGTAGCTTTCTAAAAAAACCACAAGAGGATGGGAGCCAATCTAACATTGGAAGCAGTGCTGTTCCAGAGAAGGAGGGGGAATTTTCAACTGATGGTTGCATTGAAAGTGCCATTTACTTCCCAAATTTTATCTTTTTCAAAATTTTGTAAAATATAAATAAGAAAATTGTAGGCCATTTATTTCACATTCCTTTGCCTTTGGGACAAAGTCTATGCACGTACTGAGATTGAATTCCTTAGATCTAACTTTATTTAGATCAGAATTAGATCTGCTCCATTACCCACTAGCCATGCCTCAGTTGCTGCCTTATTTGATGCATTAAAGTTCTTTCTTATCATAATCTTTATGATTGAGCTTGCCTTTGGTAATGCATTCAGCTAAAGCTGAAACCCTTTTTTTTTCTTTTGAATGATGTTTGAGTAACTAGCTGATAAAGCAAGATTTAAAGAACAGTTAACATCTGTAGCCAAAAGCATATTTGACAAAAAAAAAATCCTCATAACTGTATATAAAACAGTTTTGTTTGGGTAGGCTTAAATGTAACCAGCATCCTGTCAACAATTTTACTTTTATTAAACAAAATTCAAATAATATCTTCTACAGGGAATCTCCACTTACTAAGTTGTCTGAAATCAGCCAAGGATCACTGCGGGATCAAAGCATCCATAGAGCTAATCTTGTTTCCCCAGTGAGCCAGCAACTCTGTTTGGGTAATGTTAAGTATAAGTTTCCTGATAATTATCAAACATTCACTTCAGTACTTAATTTGTAAGTCATTTATGTCCTTCACAATGCATGAACATCCACGGAATGGGGTGGCAAACCAGTGGTGGGATTCAAATATTTTTACTAACGGTTCTGTGGGCATGGCTTGGGGGGCGTGACAGGGGAAGGATACTGTAAAATCTCCAGTCAGAGGTGGTATTTGCTGGTTCCCTGAACTACTCAAAATTTCTGCTACCGGTTCTCCAGAACTGGTCAGAACCTGCTGAATACCACCACTGTGGCAAATGATAAAATGTGTGTGATGACAATGGCATGCTAATATAGAGGTACAAATATGTAATGGCAGCATTTGTCTGAGGACATTATCATAGTTCACTAAGAGATTGCTGATACCACTTCTACTATCGTCTTAGTGTTTAGATACCTCTAGAACCATCCAAGACCACATATTGCAATGTGCTCTACATGGGGCTGCCCTTGAAGAGCATCTGGAAGCTCCAGTTGGTGCAAAATGCATGGTTTGGTGCAGACCCCGATGTGCACATATATCACCTCTCTGTGGAGCTGCATTGGTTGCTGATTTGCTTCTGGGTACAGTTCAAGGTGCTGGTTGTCATCTTTAAAGCCCTTCATGACTTGGGACCATCTAAGGGACCATCTCTTGACGGTCACATCTACCCGACCCATCAGAGTGGGGAGGCAGGGAATGTTGCAGGTCCCATCCCCAAGGAGATACATCTGGTGGGACCCAGAACAAGGGCCTTCTCGATGGTGGCTCCCTCTCTCTAGTACATCATTTCCCCAGAGATCAGAACAGCCCCCATTCTAATACTCTTCTGGAAGGCACTGAAGACTTGGTTCTGCCAGCGGGCCTGGGGAACCCAGAGTGGAATGGAGCCCATTAAATGGCTCGTGTGATCTGCTGTCGCCAGGGTGTGGGGTGGGAGTTGGGAAGTGATTTTGTTATATTGTACTACCGTATTTGCCGGCGTATAAGACGACTTTTTTGCCCTGAAAAACATGCCTCCAAGTGGGGGGGTCGTCTTATACGGCGAGTATATAACAAAGGTCGTCTTATACGCCAGCAAATATGTTGTTGTCACTCGGTGCAAGAGCGACAGGGGCGGAGCTCCGCAACTTGCGAAGCCCCTTCAAGCCCAGCCGGAGTCTCTCTTCCTCCTCCTCCCCCACCCACCCACCCACCCACTCCGCTCGTGCGAGCGGACAGGCAGGCTCCAGGCTTTGCCCCCATCCCTCACCTCCTTCCATCCCCCTCCACCCCCCCCCACCCAGTGGCAGAAACTTCGCCGCACGTGGGGACGAGTGGAGGGGGTGGGAGAGCAGCGACGCAGCTCAAAGCTGAGAAAGCGCCATCCTTGCTTTTGTGCTTCGGGAAGAGTTCGTGTTTTTTGTTTTTTTGTTTTTCTCCCAGGAATGGGATGCTGCTCGTGCGATTTTCTTTGGGAATTTTTCTCTTCCCGGTTTCAGCCTTTGCTCCGAATCCTCCCCCCCCCCCCCCC